ATATGTACCGGCGTACTGCTGATCCTTTTTCCTGTGATAACTGGTTAATGAGGCAGATTAATGGTTTACACACTGCGTTACCAGGCATGGTAAGCTGCGTGTTGATATCAAGCAGACGATGGCTTCGTAAATCCAATAACAAATTGAAATGTGTCAGTGACCCTGCTCCTAACATAAGTTACTGTACGTCTGCAATGAATTTTCCCCGTAGACCAAGGCTGAGTAGTAGGGTTCGTTGACCGCACCTTTTAGTACTAGTCCCATTAGCTGTTGTTAACCACATCAATGAGGGAGCGTGGTTAACAAAATAGCCGGTGGTCGTATGCCGCTAATGTCAGCATCAGTATCGAAAAGGAAAGCGGAAACCGGTGCCCTGATCTGGAATAATGAATCGGTGAGAGCCGGATTTCTGCTGGCCAAGGACGGTGCTCGCCTCTATCGTCTGGCCTGCTTGTTTCCCGACGGCGGGCACCCTGGTGACTGTGTTTGGCGGAAGAATAACGTTTGATTACATTTACGGCCTGAATTCCCGAAACGACTATGAAATAGACAAGCAGTATAAGCATGCGATGAAGAAGGGTCTCTCGTTCAAGTACATTAAATAGTACCATGAGAACGGTGTCATATAGATTGATTTAACCGAACTTCAGCTATCTGCTTATCCAGATAATCCAGACGGTTGTTAATCGAGTTTAGTAGGCTGTATGTTTCAACGGCAAGAATGTCGGATGTGCAAGACTGGAGTTCTAAGATCCAGTCAGCGATACTAGCGGGTTGCGTCATGAGAATGCTGTCAGCGTTACCAGCTAGAATGACCTTTCACTAGATAGCTAAACGCTTCAGAAATGACTGTCGCGTCATCCAATTTTCCACCGCATACCAAAATGTGAAGACGTTTGAGGAAGTGGAAAGGAGGGTCTGTCCATTGCTTCCCCGCTAACCAGTAGATCAAAATGTTTGTTGGGTGGCTGCATCTTTAAGCTGAAAAAAGTCTTAAAATCATCCGGTGACGACATCTGTCAGAAAAACGCTTGTGGTGAAAATGCGGTTAGCACATAATAGAAAACGGTTTTCTCTGCGTGATACATCGAAGATTAAGCTGTGATTGGACCTCAGTAAATTATACCTGTGAGTCATGGTGTTAAAAGGCTGGAGACACACAGAAACAAAGTTAGTGTTTGGTTTTTGGCAGTGTTTAAAATCATGTGGTCAACCATGATTGAAGAGACATAGTGTTAGGTAAAAAAAATAGAAATACAGCAAGAATCTGGCTAGTACAATGTCTCACCTGTGGTCACCAACTAGTAGTTCCGTATAAGTCGAGACTAGTCACAAAATAATAATAATGGATACTAAACAACCGATAATAATAAAACATAAAAGAAGGACTTATCGCATGTGTTCGTATGCTGGCTACGAGTCCTAATCGCATCCGGCGCAGTTGGGTACAACGGTCGCGGCGAGGCCTGAGAACGTAGATGAATACGTGGGCTTCAGTTGTCCTGTCCTCCACTTGTATGTGAGGCGCCTTGATGCGAAATAAGCATGTCCGTTTGGTGAGTTGGCGTGAGGTGAAACAGTTTCTCAATCCCCCTTGATTGTCACATGTTTGGGGGTGCAGCGTGTGGATAGATAGAGGTCAAATGGTCTTCTGACGTCTGCGTGTTAATCACTTGGTGCGGCAATCAGGCTCCGTTATGCCGGGTAGCTGAGAGTACAATACCAAAAATATGGATGCCTTGAGGCGTTGTAAAGGGATCTAAAATACCACAGGTCGTGGTATACCAGTCGGTCTGATGGCCCTCGACCTGTGTCCTTTACTTTCGTCAAGGGCGAAGCTCGAGGATCCGCTGGCCTAACGAGACACCAAAACAGCGCGTTCTCAGTGTATGTAGGAAGACCCCATAGTTGCCCTTGTCGAACGCTTTGCCAAAATCGATGTGGACTACTTACGCAGATCTCCCTTCCTTTAGTGCCTAAAACGGAGGACGCAATTAAATAAATCTTTCTCATAACTGCCCAAAAGTCCTCAATAGATGCATCCAGCGTAAAGACGATTCCGCTCTACTCGCGACATGAGTCAGGTCGTAGGATTTCTTTTATCTTCATGTATAACCTATTTTTTGTTAGTCCCCGAGAAAAACGCAAGCCGTGATTTCAGTGGTTATAATATGCCTCAAGCGGATGGGAATACCACTGATGCAGCTCCATGTCGACAGTGGGTACTGAGTAGTCGCTTGCTACCAGTGACTCCAGAATTTGAGCATCAAACTTATGTACGTTTACTGGCACGACAGAGCTGAACGCGGTTTTAGGTACCACGACTGAAGTGTGGGTTTTGCTGCCCCTATTTTCAAGTGCTATTTTGCTTCGACCTCGCTATGTTAAGGGATTAGTTGAACTCCAAACTATCGTGTTCAATGATAATCGGTTAATTTCAATTGTCCTCGAAAACACAGACACATGTATTTTCGGAGATGACGCAGGTAATCCAAACAAGGATACAGTGGACTATTATAAACTGCACCAATGGACAGCTCTCCGTTCTGAAGTGGCTTGAACATCGTTACTTTTCACAAAACCCACTGTCGCTTACGTATATGTTCACAGGTCTTCCACGAAACATGATCGGGCGCAGAGCAAGTCGGCGCCGGTGGTATTTGTTAGCCTGTCACTGCGGAAGCACGGGCAACCAATGAGCTCAAATTGCTATTTGCTTACCTTAGAATTAAGCCACTTCACCGTGAGTCCCTCTACTTCTGGCCGATCAGAGACAACGAAGCGGCACTGCTCATCGCATTTGCACACAAGCCAGTGAACGCTCATAAAAACTACATGTGAGTCATCGTATGAACCATTGCGCGTGCCTGAAGAGTTAGTGACCGGTCGATCACAATCCACCCGAAACGTTACAATACGTAGTGCTGTTTCGCCCCTATCGGTTTGCAGTTTTACTCCATGATATCAAGCTTCAGACGATCCAGGACGAATAAGCCCCCCCCCCACTACTCAGCCTAGTCAGGCGAGACAATGTTAGTCTCAAGCTGGCCTCGTAGGCGACTTTATCCGCATAAACTAGTCCTTCTCGATAACGCTTATACCAAAGTGGATAATTGGTCTCACTCACTTAGTCCTCACCCCCTCCAGGATTCTATCAACTGGACTCAACATTGCCTGTTATCGGGGATCCACGGACTCAGGCGAGTGAAAGATCATCAGAATTTGTAGCTATTTATCATTGGAGATGGGTCCTGCATGAGTGGGAGGAGAAGTTGGACTCTAGCTTGATTTATCTCGCTCTCAATGTGTGGATAGCAGCTCCTCTTGGTTTCGCAAGATCTTCCGTCGATGAGTTTTCCGCGGTTCCTTAACCATCAGACATTTATCACCCAGATCTTTAAAGCTATTAGAGCACATTGCAAGTAACTAGATAGCTTCGTTTAATGTCGTTCTTCGAGAAACCGTGGGAAGATTGCGTAACAGCTTGTTGTGGAAGAGGAGGAAGAAAGGCTAGAATCTCGGATGAAATCTGTGACTATACGCATGTTAATGTTTCTAGAGTAACTGAAAGTCAAGCTTTTTTCGCCATGGGCTGCGCCATTAGAAGTCATAACTTCTTCCGGCTTTCCTTGAGTGAAGCATTCGTCGCACGAATCTCAAACGAATGTGTTGAACAGAATGCAGAAAACAAAATAAATCGATACGCTATTCAACACATGAAATATAGTTGTCAAAACAGTTATCAAACCATGTAAGGGGATTTAATACGTGTGTAACCATTTTTGAAAAATTATCTTAACATGATGTGAAATGGTACAGTAAAATAAGCGTAGCTGAACTCCGGAGCTTGCTGAAGATTACTGTGCACAATACACTGAAACTACAGAATAACAAGTGCGACTGAACGATATCGTACTTCACACATAGTAATTCAATTGCATCGTCAAATCCACCAATCAAGAGTCGTGAAAACGCAACCAAGGGAGAGGCAACCCCACACTTTAATCGAATGGCTGAACATCCACCCATCTTGAGTTCACAAAGTGCAATCTTGACTTGAGATGTTCATTTTTAACAACAATAGCTACGCAGTCCAGTGCGAAAATACCGCTACTGAAACGTATGCTGGGATGTGTAGAACGATTATTTTGATCTTGGTAGGTACGGTAAATCGGGAATCATCGAAGCGCGACCACCATTTGGCAATTATACAGTCCATGCATCGTTCAATATAATACTAATAAAGTCGGTGTCTGTAGAAGCATACACCAAAGTGGGCGGATCTACCATAATTGAAGCCTACTAATACACAAATAGATTGCAGCTTGTCTCCCGGTCGATAACAATGACACATAAACGCCATCCCAACTACGGAATGAAGAAGACTGAGACAACGGAACCCAAAATATATTGGGTAAACAGCGAATCAGCAAGAGGGCAGAACGGAGGAGCGCACGGCTCACAAGACAGAAACAAGTGAAGAGCGATTGACAATCCGGAAAACAAGTAGGATATCGGAAGTTGCAGGGATAAATAAAGCCCACTGTTGCCAGGCAATGAAATATATATTTCGGGTGCATTGCAAGTGCACCCACCTACAGCGTTGTATCGGAAGTCTTCCATTGGCTTGGCATGTAGGAAAATGTACTGAAGATGGGTGGGAAGGGTTGACAGGTTGACATGGGAGTCTAAATATGGGTTTCAAGATATCTGAGCCCCAAATTTGAGGTCTCACTCGCGTGGGCCTGGAGTTTAGTACCTTGGCAATATCTGAACTTACCTAAAACCACTTGTGATTGAATGGTATCGGAGCTTCCGTACACAGTAGTGGATCAGTGCTGATACTTCGTCTTCATCTAGTTTCCTACGTAATGGTTATTTCCACAATCAAAAGAATCAGCAGCCGGTCAATCGTGTGTGAATTTGCGATAGAAACTAACAGCAATGTAAGCAAAAATGTGTGTACACTCATATAAAATGCATCGCTATTGTATTTCACTCAAAACTCTTTTTCCACTTTAGGCACTTACGCCTGCTCTTCGACTGAATCGCAATCTGGTTCATCGTGTTGCTTTTGCCATGAACAACTCTTCTACTATCACTATTTCGGAAAATATCCCCAATGGCTCGAATGCCAATAAACGAAACTCATTTTTCCTCTACAGTTTGATGATGTTGGAAAATATGAAAAGCACACAAAAAATAATCATTATCACCGTTTTTGTTATTGTTTTTAGCATAGTAAAAATACTGTACAGTTGGAAGAAATTGTATCTACACTACATTCCGGAACCAATAACGGAACTTGGGATCGGTTTTATTTTTGGCTACGTACTGAAGCAGTGCGAAGTTCGGTTCATAGCTTTCAGTCATTTTCCATATTTTGTTATTTTTCTCCCGCCTATTATCTTTGAAGCTGTGTTACATTTGCATAAGATGTATTTTTTTCGAAATATCTCTTCAATTCTTATTTTTGGGTTTATCGGTACCATATTGACCTTTCTCTTTATTGGCCTCAGTCTTTTTTTGCTGGATAAAACACCCATTTTCACATCAGAGGGACTTCACTTTCATCCAAGTGCACTATTTCTCCTATCTGGTCTGGTTACCTCAATAGATTCCGTCATCGTCATCAGTATTCTGGGAGAGATCCACGTTCATCCCAGTTTGTATGTTACCTTTTTGGGTGAGTCAGTCATAAATGATGGGTTAACTCTGATTTTATTTGAGTATGTATACGAGATTAGTTGTCATCCCGATGCAGACGAAATCGCTCACCCCGCTATTCTCATCCCCCACGGCATCCTCGTTATAATCGTGAAAATATTGGGAAGCTGCAGTCTCGGAGCAATTCTTGGCATCTCCACATGCATCTTAACGAAGTACACATCCAAATACACCATTATCGAGCCTCTCCTGGTTTTGAGTGTTTGCTATTTTAATTATTTGATAAACTTCAGCATCGGCTGGTCCGGTGTTTTCTCGCTTTTGATCTTCGGTCTGCTTCAAACATCCTACACATTTGAAAACATATCACAAAAATCGCAGATAACTATCAAGCGTTTCGCTCACATGACGGCTGCCATTTCCGAATCACTTATCTTCTTATCGATTGGATATACCTTAGCAGTGGAACATTCAGCTTGGTATACGAATTTCATCTTGGTTACCTTATTGTTATGTACTGTATCTCGCTTCATAATTGTTTACTCGTTGGCCTCGATTGCCGACTGGCTGGACTGGCTCACGAGCCCGATACCACCATCAATGAAGTTTGCTATCGCATTCTGCGGACTTCGTGGTGCAATCAGCCATTGTATGGTGGAAATGGTCAAACCAGAATGTCTTGTGCCAATCGGAGCACCGCATGCAATGCTCGAGACGACAATTTTATTTCTCACCTTTTTCACCGTGATCGCTATTGGAGCTATGATGAGACCGCTCATGTATCTTTTTAAAATGCACTCACAAAAGTCATTAATCAGCCTGTTCAAGACGTTAAACGAGGAAGTGGTTCGGAAAGCAATGAGTGGTGTAGAAGAAATTGTTGGTTTAAGTGAAGGCAACAAGCTATTCAGTCGATTGCTACGCTGGGAACAGAAGTAAGTTTGGATAGTTCTCACATTTTACTGAACGATTCTTTGGATCAATATCGAATTTAAATTTATAAGGATTGCTTAAGGTTCCTTTTCATCAGACTGACTTGAATCTAGCGCGACATAAAGTAAGCAGTTCGACTCCGACCGTCCATCCACATACATGCTTGGATTTGGGAAAATAAACGGGAACATTTCCATGTGCCGTAAGTCTACGCCATTCACCTGAGGACTTACGGAAAACGTGATAGGACGAATCCGATTTCTTCTGTGAGTCTACACTGAAATCGGTGGAATTGACTTTTCAGTCCGTATTAAACGAGTGCAGTCAAATGTGATAGGTGACACTGGATAGCTAGGATTTGACCTAAATGCTTGAAGCGTTTATTCGGTACATGGACCGTTTTCGCATACGAACAGCAATGAACAATGATTTATAACGGGCAAAAGCATTGCTTTGGCAACTCCAGTAGGATGACCGCAATGCGTGTTATAAAATGGTTGTTTAAATTGACAGGAACATTGGAAACTGTTGGTCTGAGGTGACTTATTCACATAAACATATGCTTGTCTGCTCATTGCTAGGTAACGGAGAGGGCTGGTTAGCGCACTGTTCGTCTTAATTCGCCTTCCATGGAAGCAGACTATATCGCGTAATTTATGCAGAATAGAGTGTTGTTCGATCGGTTCTTAAAAAGCGTTAATGTAGGGGACAAAATAATGTGAGAAGAAAGAGCGTTCCACGGTCTGGATGCTCGAACGCGGAAAACGTTTGGCCGGCAAACAAGTCGACTGTGGTGTGTGGTTCGTTCGAACGTAAGGCCCCTCAGTTTGGTATTGTGGCTGACTTGCAACAGATCGCGACAGGCGTGCTTAGGGTTAGTCAGTATTTAGTATGCTGTAATAAGGTCTCCTCACAAGCGCCGGTATTCTCTTCTGTACAAGCCTATGGCTTGCAGTGTGCATTAGTAGGAGAGGTGAAACAGTCCTCTAAAGATTTTCGTCGCCCTACATTGTGGAGCTGCGAGTGTATCAGTATCGTGTTTACGCGAAGGTCGACAGAGCTGGATCGTATATTCAACGTGGGGCCTCACATAGGCGTTCAGTATTTGTGGAAAAATTGATGGCTCGAACTTCCCGAACGCTCTTCGTAAGAGGCCAAGGTACTGACTGGCTCTTCTTGATGCATTCTCCACCTTTTTCGAGCAGCCGAGGTCGTCCTTCACGACAAATCCTAGGTCACTTTCTCGCGTAGCATGTTTCAGCACCTGTTCTCCCAGTCGCTATTCGTGAGTACACTGATGGCGTGCGCTCAGAACTTTGCATTTCCAGGTTAAACTGGATCCGGTTTTCGGAAGACCATGTATAGGCCCTGCGGTGAACTGTTTGTAGTGCCGCGTAGCCTTCCACTGACGACTCAGAAGGTGTGGATCTGCTCCCAGGAGAACAACTTTTTGACTTGGAATATGCTGACGATATTACCCTAATCTGTAACATCTCACAAACGTACCAAGATTCACTGGACAGATTAGCACTGGCTGTCAGCCTCTTCGGGCTTTGCTTCGCATCCTGGACGTGCAAAGCGTTTCTCCAAGATTAGCCTGGACCGCCTCTTGCGCACAGTCTTGGTGAAGATCAGCTAGAAGTCTTTCATAAATTCAACTACCTGGGAGGTTGTATCAGCGCTCGTGGGATTGAAGATGAGATCACGAACCGTATAGCAAAAGCTCGGGGCGCTTTTGCTAACCTTCGCCACTTATGGCGCCGGCTGGACATCACTCTCGCCCTGAAGCGTAGAGTGTGCAATGCAGCGGCACGTCCGACACTACTGTACTGTTGTGAAACCTGGCACCTTAGACCAGCCAACATAAAGAGGCTAGTTACGTTCGACCACCGGTGCCTTCGCAATTTGGCTCGTATCTGGTGGGAACATAGCGTAAGCAACGAGTGTGCTAGACTCCTTGCTTGCGGCACAGTAAAATAAATGAACCACTCAGCACCGTCATTTCATGCAGCAGGCTCCGATGGCTCGTCCACGTGTTACGCATGCCAGCTCACCGACTCCCGCGACGTGCGTTGTTTGCGCGCCGGTGGTGTGGTTGGAAGAAGAGGAGAGGTGGCCAAGCGATGACTTGGTCGAGATGAATGACGGCCCTCACTTCGAACCTGCCCTTAGTTGGAGCGCCTTGGCTCCTTGGTTGGGGTTTGGCTGGATACACTTGTTCATATGGCTAGGAGGCAACCTCAGTGGCGTTTGTGCTGTGAGTTTCTTTGTCCCACTCCATCCATCTTAGTCTCCCCTCCAACCACGAGCCCACTATTTAGCGTTATATAACTTTGCAGTAAATTGCTTTTGCTGTATAATAGCCGGCTGGTAACTTATCGGAACAATGCCCATCCGTTACCGGTAGCTTAGCTGGCTTGCACCTGTTGCATTTTCCCCTCTTTTTTCTTTTATGTATTGCGGCGCAGTAGCGGAGGTATTTCCCACCTCTAGCTAACGTATATAATGATGATGATGACGGTCGCCCACCATTTTGATTTCATGCCAGATCTTGTAAGCAGGCGGACTCGAGCATCCTAGGGAGGTCGTTGATGAATACTTGGAAGAGACCTGGTCCTAGTACCGATCCTTGGGACATATGACACTAAACTTCAGTTGGTTCAGAGATGGATCTGCTGACTCTTACATTCAGCTGACGTAGAATGAGGAAGTTGCTTATCAAACGTGGCACTGGGTCCTTGATTCCATAGCTTCAAACTTTGTGAAGAAAAGTTTGGTGATCCAGGCGATCAAATGCTTTAAAGAAGTCCAGCTATGCGACGTCAACTTCTTGCCTGACATCAACTAATTTCGTCCAGCTTGATCGGGCTAGTAACGTAGTTGTGGTGCAGGACAAATTTCGGCGGAATCCGTATCTCTGTGACACTATTATGCTGTTGCTCTCAAGATATCCCATGAGCGCCTTTTCTATTATGCGTTCCATTACTTTGGATAAAACTGGGAGGAGAGTGGTTCGACGGTAGTTCGAGGGCTCCGAACGATTACCACTTTTGTAAATAGGAGTGACTAATCCATGTTTCTACATTGTCGGAACTTGCATTTCGTCGAGACAACGTGGAAAAATCCGAGATAACGGTTCAAAAAGGTTCATAGCCGCTGTCTTCAAGGCCTTCAGTTTGATTTCGTCCACGCCAAGTGAGTTGTGCACGCTCAATGACATTAGCGTTTTCATCACATTGGCTCCCGTGAACGACACCTGGTTTAACCTGGTGGAGATCGTAGCTATATCAAAAACGAGTGAAATGATGATTCATGCTGGAAACTGTGGATTAAGTATTGATGAAGCACGTTGGCCGCATCTTGTGTAGTTTGTGCCAGACCGTCTGTTGCACCTAAAAGTTGGATCCCCCGTTTCACCCTCCGCAGCTAGTTGGCATACCTGTAGCGTATCTTAGGATTAGTAATGAATTTTGTCGCTAACTCCTGTTGGTGCTAGCCTTTGTCTTCGCGGGGTAATTTGACACAGTGATTTCGCTGTTGCATAGGTATCCCAAGCTTGCGCATCCGGACAGGCCTTATAAGCTCACCAGGCTAAATCCTTTAGGGCCATTCACTTTCGTGTCCGCTCCTCAGGAAAGATTTCATTTGCTTCGAGTGAAAGACTTTGGTTTCAGACGCAAGTGCAAATAGCCCGCTAAACAGAGTGACAAATTCCTTTCAGGCGACATCGGGAGGCTGCTCAGCTTGGATAGACCAGTTAGTTTCTTGTACGAGGCGGGAGAGTGTGCCATAATGGGCAACAACGTAAACATCCTCGATTTTCACATATGTATTCCGCATAGCTGATGTGGCGGAAGAGAAGCGTGGCGTGATCGCTATGGCCAAGTGGTATACTTATGTTTACTGCATCGATCATTAGTTCCTCGTTGCTAAACGCCTGATCGAAGACAGATGGTTCTTCCCCAATTCTGTATCTTGTGGGAGCGGTGAGGTGGTCGTATAGCAATATATGGGCGATTACTTTTTCAAATCCGTTTTGAATTGTTCTCAGATTGAAGCCGAAATTCCGACCGCGTACAGGTTGAACTCTGCTAGAATTCTAGGATTGCTCACCGCGGACGACGGGTGCGTAGTGCACAATTCAACCAGCCGTGAAAACGGATGACACTGGAGGTTTCGACCTATTCCACACCGTCACGACAAGCTGAGTCGATAGCACATAGCGGAGCGTAGAATCAAATGGCACCATGAATGAAGTGCGCAAATGAGTTCGACTGTTTTATGTTCGAAATGTTATACCATGTATACGTTCGTGCTCCAATACGGAAATCGTTCGCACCGCCCCGCCTTCTCCACAATAGTAGACGCCAAGCAATGATCCATTTCCAGGATGGACCTGGGAGGGCGGTATATAATTGCAAATGCGTACACATCACCACGTTTCAATTGTAGGCGGAACCAGAGAGAATCGACAACCTGCGTAAATGAATTGTCGATGATATCGATATGCAGTTCAGATCGGTAATACAAGAGCACTTAGCCTCCTCTGCTGGGTCGATCGTTTCGTAGAAGAGTTGTTCCTGGCATGGCCATCTCGGGATCAGTGAATGCAGTATTTAGCCATGTTTCAGTTATCATGACGCTATCCCAAGGAGTAGAAGCAAGACAAGCAAGAAGCTCAGGTAACTTACTGAGTGCATCCTTCTCAGTTTTCTTCCCAGCTGTAAACTTAGCATTTTCAATGGTAACCCCTTTGGTAAATTTGCAGTAAATAATGTAACATGTTGCAAATGCACGCAGTTGGTAGCCAAAGCTTATAGTGATCTACCTGACTTAACTTGAGGAGCTTGAGCTTTTCTATACGAGCAAGAGAGGGCCTCAGTTTTCAGTATTATATTTGTAGATGCTGTTTCTGTGTGCAGGATTATCCCAACCCTTGTGGTGTCGACTGTTGGTAGCTTTTTGTCGAACAGTAATCACAGGCCCAAGGGCAGTTTCGAGT